ATATTAGCCAGGCTTTAGCAAAGGAAGACATGAAAGTGCTCCAGATAAATGGAAAAGGAGTTAAAAAAAAAAACAAAGATACCTAAAGCAGTTGACACAGACATTTTTACGTTACAGCAAGATGCATGCACTCACAAGTGTGCAGTGTGCCTCCTGCCTCCAAGAAGGCCACAGACTACCACATTTAGGTCAGTAGGACCTTTTCAGAGGCCTTCATTTGGGAGATTGAGGCGGTTTTTACACTGGACTTTAAGTGGACATTATGCTACAATTTAGACTTCACAGATTAGTGAAGGTTTCAGGGGCCTGATGCTGTTCAGTAAAGTTCTTTGTGGTCTGGTGTCTGCTTGTGCTCTGTATTGTCTCCACAGACTGTACTGCCAATCCTAATTTTCTGTTGAAGTCCTGTGGTAGATGTAAAACAGTGGCAAGTTCTAGCACATGGTGACTTTGAACTGTAGAAGTGAGATAGGAGTCCTGTGTATGTAGCTACCTTTAATTTAAAAAAATATAAATAAAGTCATAGAATAAATATGCGGAAAAGAAAAGAAAGGAAGCATTAGTTCAGGCACATTAGAGATTACCATGAATTTCAGCTTTCTTCATAGCAAAGCCTGTTTTTTCTCCAGCGTGACCTGCATGCAGAATTGGGTACTATAAGTACTATGTTAAAAACAAGAGATAAATCCATATTTCCTGAATAATTCCTTTAGCTTGTGATTACAAAAAATATTATCACTGTCAAAAAGACACTATAGACTTTTCATATAAAGCCATTTTTCCTATACATATGTAATTTTTCATTTACTAACTCCTGGCAGTGAGGGACTGCGGTGTGAGTTGAATATATTACAGCCATCAACACAGCTGCACTCTGCATCCTGCTTTGTCTCTCCAAGTGTATTTTCCTTTTTCTCTTCCCAGGTTAGAATTTCAGCCTTCTCTACAATGTAAACTAGGTTTTCATATTAGTCTCTGGTCACCCAGCAGTTCCATCTGTGATTAAGCACTGCAACTTTGTTTTTTATTTCTGATCACCCTATTCCAAAAGAAACCAGGGAATTATATTCTCATTACTGTTTATGCAACATTAAAGAACGTATGGAAGCCTAGTAGAAGAGATTGAAAGCTAGTAAGGACAGAGTAAGTACTGTTCTAATTTATCAGTTTAGGCCCATATCTTTCATCCCACGAAGCTCTGGCCTCAAACTTCTACACAGAGGGTGTTGTGACTGCACAAATATGCATTTTCTTTCTGCCTTTCCTGTTCTATTCTACTTCAGAGTAATTTTTAACAGTTCAGAAGGATTGTTAAAATTCAGCTTTGGAAGAGAACTAATTCATCATTGCAGCTTGTCAGTGATATTTTCACATTCTATAGTTCAGCCTGTCCACTGCTATGTTGGGTGCTCTGCATACCCATTACTTGACTTGCCTGGTGGTGGTGTTTGTAGGAGTCTGCTGTTAAAATGGGATTCACTAATTCTATTATCTTACTGATATAGCACCTGTATGCAAACTAGTGATTAGAAATTTAGATTGAAAAGTGCTCTCTTCCAAAAATGTGTATATTTCATAAATTATACCTCAGTCATCTTTTCTGTCCATGTCTTAATGAGGGCTATCATCCCTGCATGCAATCTTCTGCTCTTTTCTCTGCCAAGGTTCTTACCACCTGGAGATTCCCTGTATGCAGATTTATGGTGCCTGTAAAGTGCACCAACCACTTGAAACTGACACTTTTACTACCGGGTTAGTCAGAGCCAGTGAGTAATCAATAGGTTCCTGATTTACTAACCGAAATGTGGGTGATCAATAAGGGATAAACCTGAATGAAATACATGTTACAGAGACAATTTATGACCTCTGAGCCTTTGTGTGTTAGAGGCTGGGCTACTAGATACAATATCCTTGCTAGTAGTCTCCAGCTGGAGTATGATTTGCCTTTACTTTCACTACAAGAAGTGATTTTGAGATTCTTCTGTTTTCATTTTTCCTTTTCTTTTTACCCCCTGTGTAATCATCAGGTAAGGATAGATGTGGTTTGAGCATGTAGCTGAGAGCCAGGAGTTCTTATTCAAAACCTAGCTGTAATATTTGTGAACTGGGAAAAATTGCATAAAGTCTCTTGGAAATGATAGTGCATGATTCTTTCCTAGTCCATAGTGATTCTCCACCAAGGATCAGATGGCTAATGTTGGTGTAAATTAATAAAATTTAAAAGGGAGAATTTTTATTATTATTATTAATAATAATGTTGTTATTATTTAAAATTAGTTGGATTATTATATATAATGATATAGTCATCTAGTTAGTAATCTAATACTGTGTCACTGATGCAAAATAAAAAAACTGAATCTTTTCCTCGGGCTATGTGTTCTTAGATGTTTCATGGTACAGCTATGCTAAAATATTATATAGCTGCTATTGTAGTCATGTACAAAAGCAGCTTTTAGGATATGCAAAGTCACTTAAAGGTTATTCGGTTCAGTGTACAAACACAAGATTTGAATATGCAGTTTATAGGTGTGCCAGTATTTTTGAAAGCATTTCACAGAATAACGGAATCATTTAGGTTGGAAGAGACCTTCCAAGATCATTGAGTCCAACCTTTGACTGATCACCACCTTGTCATCTAGACTGTGGCACTAAGTGCCATGTCCAGTCATTTCTTGAACATCTCCAGGGATGGTGACTCCACACCTACCTGGGCAGTCCACTCCAATGTTTAACAACCCTTTCCTTGAAGAAATTCCTCTTGATATCCAACCTGAGCTTCCCCATGCACAACTTGAAGCTGCACTCTCTTGTCCTGTCACTGGTTGCCTGGGAGAAGAGGCTGACCCCCACCTGTCTACAATGTCCTTTCAGGTAGTTGTAGAGAGCAATAAGGTCTTCCCTGAGCCTCCTTTTCTTCAGGCTAAACAAACCCAGCTCCCTCAGCTACTCCTCATATGACTTACCCTCCAGACCCTTCATCAGCTCTGTTGCCCTTCTCTGAACACACTCTAGCACCTCAATGTCTTTTTTGTAGTGAGGGGCGCAAAACTGAACATAAGACTAGAGATGCAGCCTCACCAAGTACAGGGAGATGATCAGTTCCCTAGTCTTGCTGGCCACACTATTCTTGATCCAAGCCAGGATGCCTTTGGCCTTCTTGGCCACCTGGGCACACTGCTGGCTCATGTTAAGTGGCTGTCAACCAGCACCCCCAGGTCCTTTTCTGCTGTGCAGCTTTCCAGCCACTCTGCTCCAGCCTGTAGTGCTGTGGGGGATTATTGTGGCCAAAGTAAAGGACCTGACACTTGGCCTTGTTGAACCTCAGGCCATTGGCCTCGCCCCACGATCCAGCCTATCCAGATCCCAGTGCCAAGCCTTCCTACCTTCCAGCAGGTCAGCGCTCCCACCGAACTTAATGTTGTCTGTGAGTTTACTGAGGGTACACTCAATCCCCTCAGGAGACTTCTTTGTCTGTTTGTATTAACCTGTGTTCCCAAATTTGAAAAATTGGCTGTCAGTGAAGCTTAGCACAGTTTAAAAATTTTTGTTCCTTAATGTCAGATTTAGAGGACAGATCTTGTAGACTTCTTGTAGAACTTTTGAAGTTTAGTTGAGAAGACAGAAGGGTAGATATGTCTTTTATTTTGTGGTTGTGCATTTTTTACAGGTAAGTAGGTAGATGCAGCAACATTCAAACAATTTGTAGACTGGACTGGTATAGGAATTTTTTTGTGCTCTCTACACTGTAGAGATATAACAGCACACTTTGGTTTTGTGTAAAGTCATCATCTAAAATTATAGATATTCTAAATATGCTGTTTGGGGTTTGGGGTTTTTTTTTAATCGATTTTGGCACAGAAGTAAAAACCTATGAACTTTTCCTTTTGTTATCTGTAGAAGATTTCAGTACTTTATAGAAGTGTTTGTTAAACTTTCAGGATTTTTTTAAAAAAAAATCAAAATAACAAGCTTTTCATTACTTAATCATCAAATTTATACGGTTCCAATCTTTGTACGGGGTGAGCACCTCCCAGTGTTTAATGCATTCTATTTGCACTGTAGTTCTGCCTTTTGCACATCAGATCTGAGGCTGAGTGTGACCAAGGAACTTGCCAAAGCAACTGTTATACTGGACAAAGCAGGGATTTGAACCCAACACATTTGTATTCATTATGGATGGTATTTGATAAAGTTCTCTGGTCTGCTGTAAAGACTGTTGTTTCTGAATTAAACTCTGCTTCCTAGATCTAGAACTTGGAGGAGTTCTCAATTCAAGTCAGTCGCGACAATGCAGGTTTCTTGTTAATTGTCAAATGATTAAACTGCAATGACCGTCAGTAGGCTTCAAACTTAACAGTTGATATTAATGGAACAGATTATGCCTTTCAGCCAGTTTAGAGGTGCAACAAGTCTGTATTACCATAAGCCAGATTCAGCTGTTTTCACAGCACTTTGATAAGGAAATAATGATTTTGAAAATGCATGAGACAGCATTGCATTCCTAACTTTACGAACTTACTGCTGTGGTGAAAACAATATGCATGGACTATTGACATTATAGGTACATTCTAAGATGACTATAGTACTAAGTAGATCGCAAAATAATTTTTGACTAAGGGAGCAAATATCACACAGTTTCTTTAAAGAGCAATCTTGCAGACATTTGTTATGCTTATGTAGAAGTAATGGTAGGACGTGTCTTATCACTGCTTGATCTACATCTTTATGTATGCAAGGAGTTATTTTAAAGTTAATGCAAAACTAGATCCCTTAAAGGCTAAGAATTTATTCTTCTGAGCAGTTTATGTGTTTGAGCTCTTAAAAGAAGAGGGAGCATAATGGTATATTAACAAAGAATGTGATCAAAACTTCCCTGAGAAGTTTTTCCGTGTCCTGCTTACTAGATAGGCTGAGGGGAAGATGGGATTTGGAGGTGACTGGTCAGTCTTACAGAAACGCAATATTGGAACAGAGTTTAATTTGTTTTAATTTCTCCATAGGCAAACAAGTGTCCACCTGGGACCACCATATTCAAGGGACATCAAGAGGAAACGAAAGCCAGCTGCAGCCTCCATGTCTAGCCCAACATCAGGTAACTTGCCAACATTTTTAAGTCATGTATCTCTTGAGCAAAGTGACACAGGCAAAAGTAGTGTTACCTTGGTTTGAAACTAATGAAAAGTGTGAGAGAGCATATCGTGTGGTTTTGCATAGCATCAAAAGCTGTCTATTAAACAAATTTTTGGTGATGTAGCTATGCTAGGTTAATATATTTTACGGTGCTTCACTGTATAGTGGATGGTAATCTGTTTCTTCATAAGATGTTATTTCTGCTGTCCTAAATTATGCAGTCCATGGTAATAGGGAGTTGATCAGTATGCACAGTGTGTTCCTTCAGTGTTGGGCTGGCATTAGCTGGTGGCTCTGATGCCCTTTGTCAGGGTATTTGTAGGTACTTTCACAGGAGCAAAAATCTGGCAGTTTTTCTGTCATCACTGGATGAGACCACCTATTATTCCCTGGAGGTTGTCTTACTCTTCTGGATGAAAATAGTTACTTTTTTCTTTTTCGTGCTCTAGGGATGTAGTCATTAAAATGCTGGTCTATTTTCATGTGGCATATTTCTGGAAAGTGATTGATGACTCATCAGAATCTGAAAGTTTTAATCTGCAGAACACAGAGGAGTTTAGGATGCTACTTTCTGGCCTCTCACCTTACCCTGTCTTGTGACTATCAAGCAACACGTTCTTCCAACTAGTTTATTAAAAAATTGTTCTTGCAATCCAGTAACAAGGCAGTGGGTAAGCTGATGGGAAGAATGGAGATGTGAAAACAGGGGGAAGGCCAAAGAGACTGATGATAAATAAAAGGAATGAAGTTCGTCTTTCTTTCTTGGGCTGGTGGTTAGACAGTAAAATAATGAAGTAGGAAAGAAAGTTGTGCTTTCTCTCCAGGTCACAGATCTGAATTACAAACTGTCTGAAAGGTTCTGTATTAGAAAAGAGGAGAAAAGAACATTATTAATCTGTTGCTCAGCATAAGTGTCATCTGTTATCAACTCTTTATTTAGGATATTCTTTCCTGGCTTTTGCATATTCCATTTTGGGATATTCAAACTTCTGTAGTGAAAGGGTTAGTAAAATCATGTATCTCGCCACAGAATTTTAGCACTGGAATACTAAGCTTTCTTTGTATGAATGCTAATATCTCTCTGTCCCCTGTTACCTGTCCATTCATTTACTGTTCAGACTGTATTCTGTACTGCATTGCTGGTCATGTTCTATAAGGACAGCTTCTGTTTTTATGCCTACATGTTTCAGAGTATTGTGTAAATTGTACTTACCTGACTAGGCAAATTGTACAGTGAACACTTTTTTGAAGAGTTGAAACTGCATCTGGAGTAGAACTTAGCAGTGGAAATAGCAACAGGGGTTTGGAAAGTTTTCTTTTTATGGATGGGAGAGAAAATTAGAGTTATGTATTACAAAATAAGGAATGAGTGTAGTAACTACAATATGGACTTGCTTGTACTGATCTTTAAGAGACAAGTGCTGCAATGATCAGAAATGGTAAAGATCTCTCCCTTAGACCCTGTTTAGCAAAGTGAACAACTACGGGGCAGGGTTTGCTACAATTCTGACTTTTGGAAAGCAACTTTTATGATTGGATAACTGAAGCTGTGTCCTAGATGACTTTCTACAACAGACTCCCAGTTGTAGCTGGAGCACAACCTGGACATGTAACTTGGAAAGTACTGAAATCTGATATTATTTCTGTCAAAGGGGGTCTTTCTACGGAATTACTAAGGCCTAAAAAAATACATTGTATTACTTTGCAATAAAGTAGAATTATCTGGAGACTCTTGTGCTTGTTAGATATTGATGAAATAGATAAAGATTTTTCTCCCTTGCCATGCATCTACTCACCCCTGCATAAATGCCATATGCTGCAGTTCCCCTATGCCTGTGGAATCATGGCACCCTCTTTTTCTCACTACAGATGCTTATGTTTGTGGTGTTTTACCTCCTTTGCAAAAGGTGAAGCACAGGTGAATCAGAACACAGGCCCTTGCCTACCAGTGCAGGCATATGAAGTGCTGGATTTCTTCACCTTTAAATATCTACTTAGCTGAGTCCAGCTGCTCTCGTCTCACTTGTTGACCAGGTCCTGCTTCAGTGATCTTCTTTTTTGCAACCTGAGTGCCCCGTGGAGGTGAAGGACACAGCCTGAGCTGGCTTCATCAGTCAGCAGAACAAATGGGCTTGCTCTGCCGAACATCGGGCCATCTCGGATTCCACCTCTTTTATAGAGATGAGTGATGAAGAGGAGCTCGTTCCGCTTTGCCGCTGTATTAATACACATCAGGGGCCAGCTCCCGGCACTAAATCACGCTACTGCATACATCTGTTATCGGACTCCTCACCAGTGTGATGAACAAGACTGCAGATAGAGGCTTTCTCGTGTCATTCTTTATAGGATTTTCCTAAAAGAATAAATAGCTCAAATCTCTGCCAACACTATCCCCTGTCATTGTGATGAATTTAGCTTCTTTCTTAAACATGCAGCTACAAATCTTCCCCTGTCGCCTCACCCCCCCACTATCCACAGAAAGTTTTGAGTCGAATTTGGCTGAAATCAGAAGATACTAATAAAAGGCAGATGAGATGTGGATGCTATTTCCTTTCTAAGTGCAGGAATGAGAGAAGGGAGCTAGAGATAATGTTTATTTGGGAGCCAAACAAACTAAGTTTATTCCATGTCCTCTCACATACTTTCATGAATGTGAGTATTTATGAGTTCTGGTAAAGCATCTTTTGCCAGAGACCCCTGTATGAACATCAAAAAACATGCATTGCTGTAGCAGAAGTGCCTTAGGTCTCTATTGTGTTGTTATAGTATTAAACTTCTGGTATAAATCCTGCTCTTTGAGGCTAATGGACCTAAATACCATAACTGAGGTATCTGTTGAGAGCAACAAAAAGTAGGTAGAAATTCAGAATTAATTTGCACTTCAGGAAGGGACTTATCAAAATTAAGTTGAGCAAACATGCAAATGTTCAGAGAGATTGAAAATTAAAGTTAGTGTCTTCTACACTACACAATCGAACAGTGTGAGCCCTAAAGCATAAGGCTTTTACTGGCTAAGAACAAAAGTCTGACTGGTGTAGTTTGGCAGTAGAATAAGGAAATCTGGAGGAAGTTAAGACTGACTGTACTGGATTAGACCAGAGGTTCATCAAGCTTAATGACCAAAAGGCAGTGCCTAGGGAGGAACAAAGTCTGTGGTGAGAAAGTTCCTTTGAGCTTTCAGTGATCTAAGACTTTGAAGGCATGGGTAGTGTCCTTGTGTTTAGTTACTTTCCATTGCAGTACAGTAGATTTGGAATAATGTCCCCAGTTGCACTGTAGGGCTTGTCTGAGAAATACTGCATGAAATGTTATTCTCATGGTAGTTATTCTTTGGTTTGAAAGGGATCTGATGAAGACTGTCATGTCTGTTTTCACTTTGCCAGATTAGGCTGCAAGTACAGATGGTTGTGCCATAAATGGTGAACAACTGTCGATCTGTACACTGATGTTTTTAGTGTTTATGTGGTTCAATCCACTAGGTATGTAGCAGTGCACATGGTAACTGGCATCCTTTTCAGCTCTTACAGTGAGTTGGGGGTAAAAATCTGCATAAATAGATTTTTGTCTGCCTTGTCATGTATTTGCACTTAGCTTGTGAAAAACCAGTTTCTAAAAGGTGCCAGTTAGCAGCCTGTGAAACTGCTTTTCAGAGACCAGTCTGATGAGTACTAGCAATTTGGTGAATTTTCCCTCTTGTATTTCTTGCTAATCATTCATTCTTTGTCAGAGTGGTGGTTTGTCATACCCAGCAGCAAGAAGCCTGCTTCAGTCCTTTGCTTTTTTTCTTTTTATGAGCAAAGATGGAGAGCCTGTGTGGGGAGACTGCTAACAAGGGTCACATAGTGTAGTATTGGTTAGTTTAAGGACTTTGAGGGTTTTTTTCATGTTTCATATGACCTTCAGATGGAAGAAGTTGGTGGACTAGACATAAAATATGCAATATATTGTTATCAGCTATGTTGTTGTGACTGTATGGGAATGACTCACTGTTTTGGATGTGCAGAAGCAGTATTGTTGGGGTTCCAGGTCTACTGAGTGTGGAACCTCAAACATTGAACTAACTTTTTATTTAAACTTCAAAGCAATTAGTCCTCTAGTTGAGGCTTGTTATCCTTGAGGCCTATTTATCCTTCATCCACTACAGAGCAGCACATGCAACTTGTAATTAAAACACACAAACAATTATTATCTGTTATGAGACTACAATGAAGAAGAGATGTGTTTAGTATTGAGGCAGTTACTTGTTAAAAAAAATCTGTTTGCCCCAAAGACTCCTATGACAATTACTCTACCCTGCCCTGTTCTGGTTGTGGGGATTGAGTGTTTCAGGATACTGAGAATGGAAGTAAACTTTCATATCTCTAGGTTTCTGGCAATCCTTCTTGTAATTTGTGTGACTGTTGGGTTGAGCTATGGATCTGCAAGTCTCTTGTGCTATTATAATCTGTCCCATTTGAAGCAGTGGTTGTACTGAGAAAATGAGAATGGATTTCAACCTAGCTTGGCAAGTAGCTTCTTGTCATAATATGCTGATTTACCATGTTGGATATATGTGGAGGTTCATGCTACTGCCTTTACTGTGTGAGAAGGAGAGGTATGTTTTCATCTCTAAAGGAGCTTTGCAACCTGAAATTTGCCATGCCTTCAGAGACTTTCAAAGTTTCAGATACAGGGTTAATTGAGTCTTTGCAAAGAGTTCAATTTATCTTCAGATGAGTGATTTTGAATTGATTCAGTTTAAATATGGGACAGCTAAAGCTCTTGATTTTCAACAGGAACTCTAAGGGAAATTAGAGTTTTGAATGTGTGACTCATTAAGGTGAAGGTGTTAATGCTATCAAGAACCTGTATTTCAAAGGAATTTGGATGGAAAACTTGTAGGAACTCAATAAATAACAGTTTCATAAAAGAAATTATATATATGAGGCGTTTGCCATGAAGTCACTTGTTCTAACTTTTTTTTAATTGCCCTTCCCTATTCTCTTCCTCTGTTCCCCCTTTCCTGCAATTTTATATTCCAGCAACTTTATCTTTCCACATGGATGCAGCAGAATCAGAGCTACCAGCAACACCATCCTTGAGATCCCAGAACTCTGAGTGGACTGGGAAAACACCAGCAACTGAGAAATCTACTATTGCTGCCTCCAGTAACTTTTTTAAAATGCCACCAGAGAAGAGCCTTGGATACAGCTAAAAGGACGCATTGCAACTATAAAAGCTTGCTCGATTTTGGAAGTGTTTGGTTCTGGTGTGTATCTGCACCAAACATGTTGTTTGGTAGTAGTGGTATCCTCAGTATTGGTGTGTGATGCGTGCCATCATCCAGACTGATCTATGTGCCCCACATACCTAAGTCATGTTTGTGACTCTATGTTTAGGAAAAGGTAATCACTGTTGGGATCGCAGCGGCTTTTAAAAATATTCTTGCTATTGCTGTATTTATTATGCATTCATCTCTTTCCCTGATGCCAGCTTATATGTAATAGGTCATGTACAGATTCTTTTGGGTTTTCAGATCTTTATTCACCCCCTGGACATGATGCTTGTTTGTGTGTTTGGCATTTTTGGGGGTGAAAGTCCCACTGCCACTCAGGGAGGCAGAATTCTCTCCCTGCTTTTATCCAGGCCAGAGGGATTTCTTGGCTGGGGAACGAGGAGGGAATGCAAACAGGTTGAAATATGGAACCTGAATTCTATGTTAGCAGAAGGTTTTCAGGCCATGTGCTAATGGACTCAAATCATGTTGCTTTTGGCAAAGCAAATATGGTGCTTGTCCACGTAGAAATTGCCATTGGCTCACTGGCAGCATCATCATCCATTAGACCTTTTCCTTCCCCCTTGTTCTGAATGTCTTTAGTCTTGTGTATTGCATGTTCATTCTTAAACCTCCTACTGAATAAGGATTTGGGAGAACTACTTTGGCATAAATATGTAAGCTGGTGTCCTGGAAAGGAACCCGGGTCCCTCAATGTCATTGGAGTATGGTAGAGGATATACAACACTTCCATATCTCAGTGTATAAATTAAAAAAAATTCTGTTAGTGTTTCTAAAGGATGCTTGCTGTTGAAGTTAACATGCCATTGAACAAAAAAACCACCTAAAGTGTCACCGGAGTTCAGAGCGTTATGGGTTTTGATCAGACTCCTTCTGTCTCCTGCTTTCCCTCCCCTCACAAGTATTGTCTGCTATACCTACTGGGGGTGTCTCCACCTGCTGATGATTGCACATTACACTGCAGTGAACACTAAAGAGATTCTCTTCATAGAACTTCCACTTGGTCTGCTGTTACCTTCTGTGTTGCAGAATATATATTGGACAGTGATTTCTTCCCTCTCTTTCCTTAAATAACTCTGGAGCTTATCTTGGGCTGTGTTTTCAGAATATATACCTGCATAGCATGCGTCAAGGAACAGGTGGCCTCACAGCTTCTTAAGTCCTGTAAAAATGGGATATATTTGTATGAATAGAACTCTTTGCTTTCTTCATTGTGTGGAGCTTTCAGACAGGACCATTTAAACTTTTAAAATTAATTTTGATTGTGGAAGTGCAGCTAGCACTCTTAAGCAGACAACAAAATTTGCATGTTTTTAGTGGTTTTGCAGTGTTCTGCTCTGCCTTATAAATCAAATAGCTGAGGGACAGATTTGATTGTGAGAATATGAAGCAGTGATTTATATTTAACTCTGTATTAAAATGTTAAGTGGTCATAACATACACAAAACAGAAATTGAATGACTTGCTAAATCACAATTGACAAATATAGTTGGTTATACTACAGACATACTGTCTGTGTCTGATCCCCTAATACCTACTTATTCCTGGGGAGATATCCAAATTGGATTTATATTTTGCAGCCCAAGCAAACTGTCAGATCTGTCATTGTAAATCCATCTCAGAACTTTTTTTTTCTTTTTTTAGGGTGGCGCATTTTTACCTTAAAGGAGGAGTACAGAGGTCTGTTTGGATTACAGGGCAAACTGTAAGGCTTTTGTGGAGGAAGGAGTGCTCCTGTTTTGAAGTAGTCATTGGTTTGTCTTATTTGTAGTTATTTTGAGCAATTGTGTCTAAGGAGTAGCACAAGAAGTTTCAGCACTGGAGGACCTTTAATCTAGAAATGTGAGGGGAAGGTAAATCTGAAGACGAGTAGCTTGTCTATCTAATACTCGTGAATACAGGTGGTCACATACTCCTGACAACCTGCAGATAAATTTTAGGATTGGAAGCCTTGTAATCTAAACTGCATGCTACTCCAGTGACAGGGAGTGGTTCCCTAGAAGAGCTTTTGTGAAATTGAGTGGGTTTGATATCACGAAGGACCCTCCACAACCTCTCTTGGTTTGAGTCTATTCAACAGACTTACTCAGATTACTGATCATTCAGCTAAAATTTTATATTTAACCTTTGTATTCCTCTTTTTAAAACCAATTCTGATATATCTTGCTACATTCTGCGTATTGTCCAGAGTAGTTCTTTCTCTTCTGTGGTGTCATGATGGTTTTAAAACTTGTGTAAGAAAATGTTAGGGAATCCAGAGCCTTCATCTCATTGCAGTGGGTGGGAGGTGGGTTGCCATGCTTCACGTGACTTTTCTCTGGGGACAAAGATAATTTATCAGATTTTCCTATTGAGGTCAGTAGCACTGTTATCTGGTTAAGCCCTTACTTAGGTTGTAAGCTCCTAGGAGATATTTCTTGTCCTGAAAGGCTGAATGTACCTGTGGCAGTACTGAAGAGTAACTGTGGCAGGTCTTGTCTTGGCAGACCATACTTCCTACTATGGCAAATTTCTGGAAGCGTCAGGAGACTCAAATTATTGCAGCTGCCCTGTCTTTCCTATTTCTACGTTAGAATCCATTTACAGGTCAGTTGCATTCTCAACCAAATTTGATTCTCCTGAGGCAAGCTAAATGAATCATGTATTTTGTTACTCCTGGGTATTTATCAAAATTTATCTTCAGACTTCAGTAAGTTGATACAGATTTTAATATCTGCAGCATTCTTAAGATGAATAAAATACATTCGTGGCTTTGTCTCTTTTATTCTCTAAGGCAGATTTCTTAGAACTCACACTCTGCTCACACAGTACTCGCTGTGAAGGATACTGCTTCCAATGTGGATTACTTGAGTAGAAAAGAATAATAACATGTCTAGATTTGGTAGCTGTGCTTCTACCAAGATGGTCCAACATGTGATTATTGCTTTAAAGATACACAGCTCACTCATGTTCCACTTCTTGTCAACCAGGACTCCCCAGTCTTTTTCCGATTTTGTTTTCTCTCCAATTGTCTACTCTCCTTGTCCTTATGGGAGACTTCAGCTTCCCAGGTATGAACTGGGAAATACCATACTACTGTGACAAGCAAGTCTGGGAAATTCCTGAAGTATGGTGAAGGTAATTTTGCATCACAAGTACTCAGTGAGTCAAGCAGGAAATATGCCCACCTAGGCTTCTTATTTATGACTAGAGAAGGACTTGAGAGAGATATGATGGTAGGTGGCAGCCTTGGCCACAGGGATCATGAAATGGGTAATTTTAAAATTTTCGATGTAATGAGGAAAAGGGTCAGCAGAGTTGCTACCCTGGATTTCAAGAGAGCTAATTTTAGGCTACTCAGTGAGATAGTAGTGTGCTGTTCCATGAGGGCTGGTCAGTTATTTAGAATCACCTTTTAAGAGCACAAGAGCAGGCAATCCCTTTGTTGAAAGTCAAGCAGTGCAGAAGACCAATTTAGCAGAACAGGGAACTCCTCTTGGAACTCAGGAAGAAAAAGATCTCTGGAAGCAAGGTCAGGCTTCACAGGAAGAATATGGAGCTGGGCTTCATATATGCAGGGAGAAAATACGAAGGACCAAAACTTAATTAGAGTTGAAACTGGCTGGTGTTGTGTCAGACAAGAAAGGCTTTTTGAAGTACAATAACAGTGAGAGAAGGTCTAAGGAAAACATTGGACCAATATGTGTTGAAGATGGTCACCTGACAAATCAGGGTTAAGAAAAAGTGGAGGTATTCAATGTGATTTTTTTGCTTCAATCTCTCATAATACTGACAGACTTTGGGCTGTCCAGTCTTCTGATCTGGATGACCATTACTGTGGGAATAGTGGCTTTCCATTTGTGTACACTGAGATTGCAAGGGACCAGTTGAATGCTTGGAAGTCTATGAAGACAGATGGAATTAATCCAGAAGCTAGGGACTGTTAGAGCACAACCCTTCTCAATCACCTACCTAAGGTTTTGTGAGTCTGAGAAGGTTCCTGTTGACTGGAAGCTAGCTAGTGTTATTCTAGTTTACAAGAAAGGCACGAAGCAAGACCGAAGAAACTACAGATCTGTTAGTCTGTCCTCAGTACCTGGAAAAATTGTGGAGAAGATCATACTGGGTGCTACTGGAAGGCATTTAAAGTCCTTTAAATCATAGAATCATAATATATCCTGAGTTGCAAGGGACCCACAGGGGTCATCAAGTCCAGCAAAGGACTGGTGGGTGATGCGGTGGTTGGTGTCTGTCTTGGGCATAGTGACCATGAAATGTTAAGAGTTTTCAATACTGGTTGAAATAAGAGGCACCAGCAGAAATTCCACCTTGGACTTCCAGTGGGCAGACTTTGGCCTGTTTAGGAGATTGATTGATACAGTCAGTCCCTTGGGAGTCAGTCCTGAAGGGCAAAGGAGTCCAGGAAGGCTGAATGTGCTTTCAAAAGGAATTGTTAAATATTCAGGAGCAGGCTGTCCCCATGTGTAGAAAGACAAGGCATTGGGGAAAAAGACTGGCCTGGCTAAACGGAGAACTTAGACTGGAATTTAGGGGGAAAGAAGAGAATTATTGTCTCTGGAAGGAGGGTCAGGTAACTTGAGAGGACTATAAGGATGTTGCAAGATCATATATGGAGAAGATCAGAAGGACCAAAACCCAACTAGAACTTGATTTGGCCTCTACAGTTAAAGACAACAAAAAAAGTATTTATAAATACATTGGCAACAAAAGGAGGATCAAGGAGTGTCTCCATAATGAATACAGAGGGTAGTACAATGACAGGGGATGAGGAAAAGGCAGAGGTACTTAATGCCTTCTTTGCCTCAGGCTTTAATATCAAGACCAGTTGTCCTCAGGATACTCAGCCCCCAGAGCTGGAAGTTAGGGATGGGGAGCTGAGTGAAGCCCCTGTAATCCAAGAGGAGATGGTTAGTGACCTGCTATGCCAATTAGACACTCACAAGTCTACAGGCCCTGATGGATCCTCCCCAGAGTAATGAGGGAACTGGTGAAAGAACTTGCCAAACCACTCTCAATCATCTACCAGGAGTTCTGTCAACTGGAGAAGTTCCAGCTGACTGGAAATTAGCAAATGGAACCCCCATCTGCAAAAGGGATGATCTGGGGAACTACAGGCCTGTCAGCCTGACCTCTGGGCAAGACTGTGGAAGAGATCATCCATCCTAAGTGCCATTATACAGCACATGCAGGACAACCAGGGGATCAAGCCCAGCCAACATGGGTTTACAAAAGGAAAGTTCTGCTTGACTAACCTGGTCTCCTATGACAGTGACCCACTTAGTAGATGAGGGAAAGGCTGTGAATACAGTCTATCTAAACTTCAGTAAAGTGTTTGACACCATCTCCCACAGCATCCTCCTAGAAAAACTGTCTCCTTGCAGGTTGGATAGGTGCATTCTTTGATGGGTAAAAAACTGACTGGATGGCCAGGCTCGGAGAATTATGGCAAATGGAACTAAATCCAGTTGGCAGCCAGTTGCTAGCAGTGTTCCCCAGGAACACTGGGGCCCCCCTCCCCAGGGCTTGGTTTTTGGGCCAGTCATGTTTAACATCTTTACTCATTACCTGAATGTGGGGGTTGAGTGCACCCCTCAGTGTTCAGGGGAGACCTTGTCACTCTCTACAGCTCTGTGAAAGGAGTTTGTAGTGAGGTAGAGACCGGTCTCTTCTGCCATGCCTGTAATAGTGAGAGGACCAGAGGAATGGCCTTAAGCTGAAACAGGGGAGATTTAAATTAGATATTGGAAAATTTGTTTTCACTGTTAGGGTAGTCAGACACTGGAATAAGTTTCCCAAAAAGGTGGTGGAGGCAGCAGCCTTGGAGGTGTTTAAGAGGCATCTGGATCTGGCATGGCTTAGGGTTTACAGTGGTGCAGGGTTGACAGTTGGACTTGATGATCTTAAAGGTCTTGTCCAACCGTGATGATTCTATGAACTCCCGGCCTTGCACAGGACAGCCCCAAGAATCACACCATGTGAGCGAAAGCATTGTCCAAACACTTGAACTCTTCAGGCCTGGTGCTGTGACCACTTCCTTGGGGAGCCTGTTCCAGTGCCCAACCACATTCTGGGCTAAGAACCTTTTCTAGTATCTAACCTAAACCTCCCCTGACACAACTTCAGGCCATTCCCTTCGGTCCTGTCACTGGTCACCAGAGATAAGTGATCAGTGCCTGCCCCTCCACTTTTTCCTCGTGAGAAAGTTGTAGATGGCGATGAGGTTCTCCCTTCAGTCTCCTCCAGGCTGAACAAGCCAAGTGACCTCAGCTGCTCCTCATATGGCTTCCCCTCTAGGCCCCTCACCAGCTTCATAGCACTCCTTTGGATGGTCTCTAGTAGCTTTATATTCTTCTTATATTGTGGTACCCAAAACTGCACACAGGACTTAAGGTGAGGCTGCACCAGTGCAGAACAGAGCAGGACAATCACCTCCTTCGACTGGCTCACGATGTAATTTTAAAACAGAGCAAATAAAAACCGGCAAATTGGTGAAGGAGCTGGAAGGCACGTCCTGTGGGAACTGGTGAAGGAATCTGGATTTGTCTGGTTTGGAGAAAAGGAGACTAAGGGGTGACCTCACTGCTCTCTACAGCTTCTCAAGGAGGGGAAGCGGAGAGGGAGATGCTGAACTCTTCTCCCTGGTATCTAGTGACAGGACAAACGGGAATGGTTCAGAGCTGCATGAGGGGGAATTCAGACTTGACATTAGGAAACACTTCTATACAGTCAGATGGTCAAACACTGGAGCAGGCTTCCTGGAGAGATGGTTGATGCCCCAAGCCTGTTTGTTTAAGAGGCATTTGGACAATGCCCTTATTTTAACATTTGGTTAGTCATGATGTGATCAGTCATTTGCTCTAGGTATTCATTTTAGGTCCCTTCCAGCTGAACTATTGTATTTTATACATGGACTTTGTGATGTTTCTGTTTTATTCATTCCTCCAGTCTGTCAAAGTCCCTCTGGGTGGTACCCCCATCCTCCAGCATATCAGTGGCTCCCTTCCCTAACATGCCGTTTTTTCTGATCTTTATGTTCTGTCTTTTTCCACCAGGTCACTAATGATCACTGAACAGTATTGATCTCAGTATTGTCTTCTGAGGCATGTTTTTCATAACTGGCCATCAGGCAGATTTCAAACCATTGATCATTTTTCTTTTAACCTGGCACTTAAGCCAGTTTCTCACTGGTCCATAGCCCATAGGTCCCCCATTTGGCTATAAGGATACTATGAGAGATTGCATCAAGAGGCTTACTGAAATCATTGTAAACAGCATTCACTGCCCTCTATGCATCCACAGAGTCTGTCATTTCATCATAGAAGGCAGTCAGGTTCATAGGCTTGATTTTCCCTCTTTTAATATGGCAGCCTGTTCCTAGTTACCTCTTTGTCCTTTAGGTGCCTGGAAATGGCTTTCAGAACTTGCTTCATAAAGCTGCAAGGGACTGAGGTAGGGATGACTAGCCTATCATTCCACAGATACTCCTTTGTGTCTTTTTAGAAAGATGATGTATACGTACACCTTCTTGTCACTGGGGACCTCGTGCAATTGCCACATTTTTTCAGAGAGAACGGAGACCCATCTTAAAATGACATGCTTTTATGTACAGAGAGAAGATGGACATTCAGTGAAAAAGAAATCAAGAGCTGAGAGGGGCACGTTTCTGAGTAGTTCTTTGCATGCTTCCAGTACTTCCAGTGAGCTCTAGTCAGGCTTAATACTCAATTTGGTAGGTACTGGAGAAGTTTAAATTAAAAGAATG